AAAGACGACGTTTCGGTTAAAACCAAATTATTCATTTTTATTTTTTTCACTCGAGTATTAACTCGCCACTATAGCCGCTTTCCACTATGGGAGTTTGACGCCCGGAGCTACTCGGGGCGTTGAGCCCCCGAGCTGTACGTACGCGTCAACCTGTCAGCTGTCACATCCCTGGGTGGCTATTTATTTATTTATTTCTTGTTATATCTCAAGATTGAACAATTTAAAAAATATAGTTCTGATTATCTTTCATTTATGATAAATAAAAAAACAAACTGCACAAACAAACAGATAATTTATTTTTAAAATTTGACATATTTGACACTAAGACCGGCGTCTCACGTCATGATACTGGATCGGTACAAATCTAGTGCGTGGCGCCCCCGAGGTGCTCTGGAGCGCGCCAGAGCGCGCCAATGTGCATACTGGAAAGCGGCTTATTTGCATACAATTCTCTCATCCACTCTCTGCTCAATTGACGCTCTGCTCTCCGCGCTGCCCGCTGCTCTGCTCGCCGCTCCACTATGTGCTTAGCCTTACCTGCATTTACTACAGGGTAAATACAGCCGAGGCGGTCAACTCCTTGCAACAACAAGCGAAATGAAAAATATTTATGCGACGTCAGCAAATCGGCGCGTTTTCAATTAATTTGAATTTCGCTAGTTTAAAATGCCTGTAAAAAACTTATTTAACCTTGTAGAACTTTTTTTTTGGTATATATGCCTAAAATAGTCCCTCCTTTGGGGTTTTATACTTGAATTACGTATTTAAATTTTAGTGAAAGAGCCCATTGGTCCAGTAGATGTCTAATAATGGTTGAAATAAACCGAGGAAATCGGCTAAAGTTCTTTCGAACTATTAATAAAAAACTATTTTTTTTTTGAAAAACGTATCACCCTGTATCTTGGAAACAAAGCGTTTCCGGACCTATATCCATAGGAACTTTTTTAACTATTTTCATGAATACTACCTGCCCTTGAAGTTTGTAACACCATTTCTGAAACACCCTGTATAGCTCAGAAGTCTGGCCACTAAAGAACGGAACCGCAAAAATGCTGGAAGCAACTGAAATGGACTTTTGGTGGAGATCGGCAGGCAGGTCAAAAATGGAAAGGATAACAAATCTGAGAATAAGGGAGATTATGGGCGTAAAACACACAATAGTAGATGATATAAAGGACAAACAGCTGATTTGGTTCGGACATGTACAAAGAATGGCAGATACAAGGATACCCAAGCAAATTATTGAGTGGAAGCTAGGGGGAAGAAGAAGACGCGGCAGACCTAGAAGAAGCTGGAGAAGTGGAGTGGACGAAGAGGCTTAGAGGAGGATGCCTGGATTGATAGAGATGGTTGGAGATCGGGAATCGGAAGACGTAGAACGTTATAAACTGATGATTATATACATATATATGTTATCCTGAGGCCCAGTCCAAAACTGATCATTCAAGAATAAAAAAGATTTAAAAGAGAACCTAGACGAAGACGTTAGCAGAATTTCTGGCAAACTGCCTTTTTGTTTCCAAAACAAATAAAACCACCATCTTCTTGATTCTGCCATTTTATTATACATTTTCAGTCATTAGGGAACGAGATTCAAACTTCCCTCTTTCTATTGTATTGTAATTCAATGTAGGTAATTAAGTTCCGTAAACTTTCATCTATTGCGGTATTTATTTGATGATTATATGATATAATATAACTATATGTCCTTCTTAAGTACCAATGTAAGGAAAATTCATTGTTTTCCCCCATTAAACCCCCTCTGTGGCAGGTCGGCATTTTACACACGCACCCGCCGGCTAAAAGCGTCCTTGGTCGAGATTCATAATGTCGGGCGTGGGTGGTTTAAATACGACCACAACAGATGACTTACTATTTGCTCGTTCGTGCGATGCAAACTGCACTTTGTGCTGAAGCTAAACACTAAACGAAGATTGAAAATGGTCGGTAATTTATGATAATTGGGTGTTTACGAGAAGCCAAGTGGCATTTTTATTGCTTTAGCTGCAGGTCTTTACGGTTTTGTCTAACCTAATGGTTTTGTGTGAAAATATTTCAACCCCTATGCTTTCGAAAATAATAAAATGCATCAGGTTTTATGCCGTTTGTTAAATTTCTTATCTGCATGGAAATAATTTTCTCAGCATATGAATGAATATCAGGGTTGGCATACACAAAAACCCACCATCAATATTGACAAAAACCTAATGGGCTTTGGAGAAAATTTTCGAGAAATTTTTATAAAAAAAAACAAACTCATTCCTGCCATAGTGACAAATATGAATAAAAAAATCTAGGATTTTTCACATTTTTCTTACCTAGATTAAACAACGTAAAAATCCTGAGGAAAAATAGTCAACTGAGATTAATCAAACAATTCTTAGATACAAAAGTAAAAATCAAAAGGAACTTTCCTGAAGATAACTACCTACTAGTAGAAACGTAACTGAAAAAAGAATTTGTACAGGGTGATCTATTATAAATGTCATCCTTTGCTAACTTTTCCATTTGACGTTTTTGATAAAAGTGTCAAATACAAAAGTTTTAGGAAATTTAAAAGTTTTTAACTAAGTCAGTTTGAAGTATACAGCGTGCGTCAAAAAAGTGTAGCAGAGCGAAGTTATACTTTTTCAAAATTTGGAAGGTCATGTATACTGTGTGATTATTTATTAGTCCCCTCCAACCTGATTTCAACCATATACGGTTTGTTATGTTTATCTTTCGGTTTATCTTCAATAGTTATAGGGAAAAACGCGAAAATCCCTTCCTAGGTCTCATGTAATCATATTTTTTTAATATTAATAATAATAACTTAAGACATTTTACCTTTTAAATTAATGAATAACATTTGAACAATGAACTGTTTATAAATAATCCTCTCTAAAGCTTAAATGGTATAATTTTTCTTTCTTCAACATGAGACCTTGAAAGGGGTTTTCATGTTTTTCCCTTCAACTATTGAAGATAGACATATCAAACCGTATATCGTTGAAATCAAGTTGAAGGGGATTGACTACTAAGCGCACAATATACATGGTGTTCCATTTAAAAGAATATAACTTCGCACTGCTATACTTTTTTGTCGCACCCTGTATGTTTAAAACTGACTTAGTTAAAAAAAATTGACAATTTCTCAAAACTTTTGTATTTGACACTTTTGCCAAAAACGCCAAATGAAAAAGTTAGGAGGGGGTGACATTTATAATAGATCACCCTGTACTAAACTAATAAATAAATAATTTTGGAACTAAATTAAATTCTTAATAAACAGGTTTTTACAGAATTCAATTGGATTCAATTAGAGCTTAATTACATTGAAATCGGATAAAAATTAACGGAGCTGTGAGGCAAAAACTGTCTCAGTGTCATTTTTGGAAAATTTTCAATGTTTGATAATTTCAATTTTGAAACTTCTCAGGTGCAAAAGTGTTGGAACCAAATTGAAACCTCAATTGATAGGTTTGTAGAGAATTTAATTGGCTTCAATTAGAGTTTAATTACATTTGAATCGGATCAAAATTAACAGAGCTGTGAGGCAAAAACTGTCCCAGTGTCATTTTGTTCGATTATTTCAATTTTGAAGCTTCTCAGCTGCAAAATTGTTGACGCCAAATTAAAACCCCAATTAAAAGGTTTGTAGAGAATTTAAGAGGCTTTAATTAGAGCCTGATTATATATAAATCGGATAAAAATTAACAGAGCCGTAAGACAAAAATTGTCTCAGTGTCATTTCTGGAAAATTTTCAATGTTCGATAAATTCCACTTTGAAGTTTCTCATGTGAAAATTGTTGAAACCAAATTGAAATCGCAATTAATGGGTTTGTAGAGAATTTGATCGGCATCAATTTCAGTTCAGTTATGTTGAAATCAGATGAAAATCAACGAAGCTGTGAGGCAAAAACTTAGTGTCATCTTTAGAAAATTTTCAATGTTCGATAAATTCAATTTTGAAACTTCTCAGGTGCAAAACTGTTGAAAGTTGAAAAAATATACAATTTTGTGTAGTCAAGTAAACACAAAAACCCTACAAAAACTAAAAACCCAATAGAAATTTTTAAAAAACTGGGTTTTTGCCAACCCTAATGAATATATTGTTTTGGTACACTACTACCATATTGCTTTTGGATAGCATTTCTAGGGATATTTTAACATAATCCTGATTTATAACATTTTACATATCTCAATTCGTAGCAGTAATTCTTGCGTATTTTTAAAATTGCTGTCAGACATTTGGATACAGACGGTCATGTTAACTTTGGCCTACCTATATTTTTCTACGAGTACCTATTAAGTCCCCTCTATACGAATATACGATGGTGGCAGTACCTTAAATTAATCCAAAATCTTTAGAAGAAATATGAAAAGCTTACTTTTGGTGAGTTCTATATTTTGAAGCCTTCATTACCTACCAAAGAGATTATTTTAGAACACTTTTTCAAGTTCCTGCTAAAATATGGTAGTGGTATCCTTTCCAATCTCGATGAAAAAGGATATAAACCTTACTTTTGTTGAGTTTTTGATATTTCAAACCTATTTCTCTAACGATTTTGTAACCAATTAAGGAAATATTGAGCAGTACTTAATGAAGTCCTTATCAAAAGATGATGGTGGTGCCTGATTCAAAATCTCGATGAAAAAGAATGAAAACTTTACTTTTTTGAGTTTTTTCATATTTCCAATCCTTAACAAACGATTCCCAACATATTTCAAAACCATTTCAGTAAGTATGTATGTAGAACACCCTATCAAGTCTGCTAAAACATTGTAGTGGTACAAGATCCAAAACCTGAAATTTTACACCATTCTTTATTTGATAACCTATTATATCATAATTGATTGACATTAGCACAATCAACCATGTTCATTTAAACGTTAATTTAATAAAGTAAAAATTGTTTTGGTGCGAATGGCATGGGTCCCTAATTCGTGCATAGAAATCGACGAGTACTTGAAAGAACGATAACTAGCCTCAACTAACACCCACTATTTTTTTTTCCAGTTGTGAAGGTTGTAAAGGATTTTTCAAAAGAACAGTCAGAAAAGACTTATCGTATGCTTGCAGAGAAGAGAAGAGTTGTATAATCGACAAACGACAAAGAAATAGGTAAGACACATAAAATAAACACATATAAACTCGATAACATATTTTATTATTTAGATGTCAATACTGTCGGTATCAAAAATGCTTGACAATGGGAATGAAACGAGAGGCCGTACAAGAAGAAAGGCAGCGAACAAAAGACAGAGATACGTCGGAGGTGGAATCCACTTCCAACATGCAAGTGGACGTACCTTTAGAAAGAATAGTTGAAGCTGAAAAACGAGTGGAATGTAACGAAGTTTCTGCTTCATTGGAGGTAAAAATGCCTTTTTTTTATTTTAATTTCAATCCAGATTGAAACCTGAATAATTGTATTTTGATTGATACTATGTTGCAATTCAGGAAAAATAACAACTGGATATTATAACCCCCTTATCAGAATTAATGTTTTGCAATAATCATACCATTAACCTTTTCCAAGGATATCTAGAATCTATCGAATTTTAATCCCTGGTTAAACAAACTGAATGTTTTATGTGCAAAACACATTGTTTATTCTCATAATGTGTGGCGTAGTAGTCTGGGCATAAAAAAAGGCAATCAAAAATATTCCAATAACAACTAATAAAATAAACGCCAGTGCATTTATTTTCGTTTGGGGCGCGTCAATGCACCGACGACCTTGTCTGGCTGTTTTATGGATGTTCAGGATTCCAGATTAGTTCTCGGAAATGGCATCAAAACAATTTTTATCTAATTTACTTTGGAAGGAGTGATCTATATTGTGCGAACGTGGGGAGAGACAGTGGACCTTTGTCTTGTTTTGGAAGTTGGCTCAAGCCAGATGATAATTTAGCAATTTCCTGAAGAAATATTGATTTGGAAAGTAGATATCTTTGTTGGGATTTGTTTTTATAGTTCACTAGGATGAGAAAAGTCGTTGTGGCTTTTCATTATTGACAAAAGGTGTCCAACAAGTTCCTTGAAGTGAAATTCCATTTTCTCCTAAGACTCATAAATTCATGGCCTAAGTCATGAATTGTTTTTTCTCAAATATATATATATATATATATATATATATATATATATATATATATATATATATATATATATATATATATATATATATATATATATATATATATATATATATATATATATATATATATATATATATATATATATATATATATTTATTTTTCAAGAATAATCTTTTTGAACACTTTTCACTTATTACTTAGGAAAAACTTCCCAAATTTTAACCATTCGTTGAGTAAAATAAAAGAACTCTTTTATTCTGTATCACACATTTTCACTATATACCTACATTAATCAAACCACAATCAAACAGCATTTTAACTGGAATGAAAGACGTTCAGGTTGGGAAAGGTTTCTGGATAATGGACACAGTCAGACATGCTTCTAGAGAGATTCCTTTGCGACATTTGCTGAATGACAGAATGTAACTGTGGCTTTGAAAAATGAACCACTCTTGGTGATTAATCATCACAGTTCAACCATGATATCGGGTCTTCAAAAAAAAAACCAATCAAAGATTGCTATGGTTTTTTAAACGTATGTCTTAGCAATATTTGTCTTTAATTTTGTCAATGAAATTTAATGTCAAAATGTCCTGTCAAAAATCCTGACGAATAAAGAAACAGTAATGCGACGTACGTTTTCGCAGTCAAAGCAATCTTCGATTGGTTTTTTTTTTGAAGACCCGATACAAACATTTAAATAAAAACATCATCTAGAGTTAAGCGGGAAATATCGTCATTCTTGACACACACTCCTTTTCCGCCAAATCTTGTATGTTCTTGGATCATCATCAAAATCTTCACCTAGACTGTGTGAAGTATTACATTTTTGATGATCAAGTATTAGGAATCTTGAATCAATTATTAAGTAGATTACAAAATCTGAATTTTCATTTCCTCACCCAGTTATATTGCACTGATGAGAGCTAAAAAACCCTAAACCGGTCTGCTTTGTATGAGTTTTAGCAGTACGTTGGAGCATTGGTTAAACACTTGTTTTCCAACAACTTTCTTCAGTTATTTTGTTGTTGAGAGCTATTAAGAACGACCATCTCTCTACCTTTTCAAAAGTTTTTTTGTAATTTTATGAGGGCCATTGGTACGGATAGAGAAACCTGATAAAATATGACTATTCAGGGAAAATAAGAATTCCAAAATTTAGGATATACCCAGGGGTGTCCCACATAAAAGTAACTACATAGGGATATCGGAAACTGTAAGAGATACAATTTTGGTTAAGTGGGAAAAAAGTGGCGCTATTCCAAACCCAGATGCTGCATCGAAATTGGAAATATCTACAGGGGTTTTCAAAATATCGAGCAAAAACTTAAAATTGTGTTTTCCGAAAAATTGACATATCGTCGCCATTTTGTAAACAAATGAATTGAAATTCGGTAGTTTTGTATTAGCGACTACAGGCAATCGAATGATGTTAACAAATTTTTTCCAGGCCTTCTAGTTTTTTTGCATCCATAGCCAATTTTGTTATTTCTTATGGCAGTTGTACTATTTTTTTATATCAATAAACGGATCATAAAAAGGGCTTTTTAACCATGTATAACAGGCTGTTATCGTAGCTTTGTAACTGTAAAATTTAGCGCAACTTTTTTCCCATTTAACCAAAATTGTATCTCTTATCGTTTCTGAAATCCCCATGTAGCTAATTTTACTTGGGACACCCTGTTTACATATATCCTGCTTTTTATCAATGGGACCCCTCAAAACCTCCAGTTTGCCCTTTTTAGAATAATGACTACTACATATTAACACAAACAATGGTAGCAAATGAACAGGGTTGGTTTAGAAAGTACTCTGGTTTGCTTGTTATCAGACACTTGGAGTATTTATAGAAGGAACTATAACATACTACCAAAGAACATTCCATTGACATATTATCTGTTCTATAAATTTCTTATGCAACCTAACCATTTTTTTTCCTCTTAGAACATCAACAGTAACATTCGACAGGCCTCAAACACTCACCTTCTGCAGCTGCTTGACTGGGCCAAGTACCTCCCTCATTTTACCTCCTTGAATTTGCAAGATCAAATAAATTTGTTAAAGCACAGTTGGAACGAGTTGCACATCATGGCGCTAGCGCATCGGTCGATGACCATCAGTACTGGCATCCTTTTGGCTACTGGGCTGACAATCAATGAGTAAGTTGATTATTTGTTCATAAAAAGATATATAACCAATTTTTTCAGGTCAACATCACATGCCATCGGCGTGGGGAATATTTATAATTGGATTCACGACTTTACAAGTAAATTGAAGGAAATTCGAGTGGATAAAACGGAGTTGGCTTGCCTAAGAGCAGTTATACTTTTTAATCCAGGTATGGACTTAATTAATAATAAGAATATACAAATATTTGTTGGTGCCATAACAAAAGTTTTACAATTAAAACTTTTTGAAATAAGATACTCTTTGATTCTCGCTTTGAGGCTTTCAATCGGTAAAGTCCATTGGAGGGGCATTTTTTTATAAAACAGGGGTCCATAGAAAGATACCCCTGTTTTCATAGGATTTATTCAATGGAAATCAGTGTAAATGTTGCTTTTATTCCTAGCTAAGTAGGAGTGAACATTTTCAAAAGTCTCATAATCTCCAAGATTTACTTTTACATGTGATAAGTAGTTAAAAATATATAGGCAAGGAACTGTTAAGATATTTAGTCTGGAAAAATACATTTCACAATCGGCTCTGTAATGCAATTCCTGAAGAATCCTTATGGCCATTCTCTGAAGGGAGAAAACATGCATCAGAGGCATGTCCAAGATCAGGATATCATAAGATATCCTAGAATGGACACATGCATGCAAATGCAAAAATTCCAGATGCAACTTTCGACATTGTATATTCTATGTGGGCTCCCCATAAAAGCCTTGAATCCAGTTTCACCCATAAAAACATTAGGACAATGCAAATCTCGTCCGGAACAGTCAATTATTTTGAAAATAGTGCACAATATAAAAAAACTTCCTGTATAAAAGTTGAAGGTCTTGATAAAATCTATTGAAATAGGACTTATGTAATTATACAGGGTGGCCCAAAAAGTTGTGCTACACAAAACTTCATTTTTTTTTTATGGAATGATCCTTTTTTAATTACATTTTCTAATTCTTCTAGAGATTCTAAACAACAATTATGAAAGATATCATATGGCTAAACCCATTAGTTTCAGAAATAATTTGACTTGAAGGACATAAATATGATAAGTACGATATTACCTACATTTTGCATTGTTTCGAGTTGGTTCAAAATGGTAACCAGACCTAACGCCCCTTGATTATTTTCTTTGGGAGACATCTGAAAAATAAAGTGTTTGTGACAAAACCTCCAGATCTGAACGAATTGAGAAGAAGAATTATTGAAGAATGTGCATCTATTAACTAAGAAATATTACAAAACGTCATCAATAAATTTTATTATAACCTAGCCCATTGTCAAATTGTGGGAGGAGGACATTTTCAGCATTTAATAAAATAACGTCTTACACTTAATTTTATTTCTGTTCTTTCAAAGCTATTGTTGATTTTACTTTACTGCTTGTATTTAATAATTTAGTTATTAATAAAATTTTGACTAAACTTGAGTGAGGTACATTTCATTTAACACAAGTTAAATGTTTTTTTTTCAGGATTTAACGTGAAACATTTTGAAGCAACTCGAAACAATGCAAAATGTAGGTAATATCGTACTTATCGTATTTATGTCCTTCAACTCAAATTATTTCTGAAACTAATGGGTTTAGCCATATGACATGTTTCATAATTGTTGCTAAGAATCTCTAGAGGAATTAGAAAATGTAATTAAAAAAGGATCATTTCATTGAAAAAAATGAAGTTTTGTGTAGCACAACTTTTTGGGCCACCCTGTATAATTACAAAAGTCCTATTTCAATAGATTTTATTAAGACCTTCAACTTTTATACAGGAAGTTTTTTTATATTGTGCACCAGTTTCGAAATAATTGACTGTTCCGGGACTTTTTACACACTGTGTATATCAATTTAATACTTAAAAGTGAAAAATTCTAAAGTTTTAGTTTCATTGCAAGTGTGGCGAAATACACAAAATCGAACGCCTTGCTCAAATCACAAAATGTGGCAGTAGGATATTCTTCCCCCTTCATTTACTAATTCAATAAACTGGTTAATAGCCGTTGTTGTTGATTTTGCATTTCTGAACCCAAACTGTTTACTAGTAAAAAGGTGATTCAAAACAGTTGGTTATTCTAGATTTTTAGATTCCAGAATACTTTATTTTTATAAGCATTCCATAACACCATCGTGAACGTCAAGGCAACACTAAAACCCATGAACTATGATCACAAAAAAAGATCAAATCTCAAGCATTTTATATGAGTTAATCTGTGCCAAGATAGTCAGTTGATAAATCGAAATCATCAGTCAGGAGATATTGCTCTACATTCCGTGTTCTGTTCCTCCTAGTTTGCATGGACTACTTCCTGAAACGTCCGCCTTCACCTACCTTCTATTGAGACTACAGGATTGGTTATCTGCTAATTACAAGTGGTCCAATTGACGTTTTCAATTTGGTTTCAAGAAGAACTTTGATAAAAAAAAAAAATCGAAATCAAAATCTTTATCAACGCATATAGCATTTACAGATTGTAAAAAAAAAATTAAAATTTTAAAATAGAACATTTTATGCTTGTCGATAGGGATAAAATCCACACACATAACAAAAACAACAAGAGCAAGATGGCGAACTGACCGTTCCATAAATATTAAAATTAAAAAAATATATAAATAAAATTCAAAACCTAAAAGTGAAAAGTGAAACACTTAATACTAAAGTAAAATATCCTTAGATTGCCTACAGAAAGTCTTAAAAAATCACAGTCAAAAATATCAATGTCTTCATTTTTTTGTAACACTAATAAGTTTGCAATCCTACACATCCTATCTATGGGCATATTGACGCCATAATTGGCCCTATGAAAAGGAACGCTAAACAACTCTTTCCGACGTGAGGTCCTAGAGGGAATATGAAAATCAATCTCTGCAAGAAGATCTGGGGTGTCTATTATGCCATGCAAAATCTTAAAAAGGGTACAGACATCAAATAACTGTCTTCTATTTTCAAGAGGAGTAAGATTTAAAAGCTTCATTAAGTCATCACAGTTTATATCTTCATAAGGAATACCCACTTTAAGCCCAACCCTCCTAAGAAATTGTCTCTGCACCCTTTCCAAACTCTGCTTGTGTACACTATAATAAGGCTGCCAAACGGAACTAGCGTACTCCAACAGTGAACGTACTAAGGCACAGAAGACTTTCTTCAAAGTGAAAATATTATCAATTTCTCTCAGAGTTTGAAAGACAAACCCGAGCATCCTCATTGCTTTGTTTGTGGCTTTTTCGATATGAGTGTTAAATGAAAGATCACTCTCTATCCAAACGCCGAGGTCTTTAACTGAGGTTTTTCTTTCCAACTCTAAGTTATTTATTAATAGAGTAATTAAAAGTGATTGGGTTTTTGATTCTGCTGAATGTGATAACGGTACATTTTTTGACATTTAGTTGAAGATTATTTACTGAACACCATGTGGTAAACAAGTTAAGTTGTTCTTGCAAAAACTGACAGTCAAGCGCATCGATCACAATCTTATAATTCTTAAAGTCATCAGCAAACACACTAAAATCACAGTCCTTAAAAATCAATTTAACATCATTCACAAACAAATTGAAAAGTATGGTTGACAAATGCCCCCCTTAAGGTAATCCTGATGTCACTACAATTTCAGATGATGTAAAATTTTTCATTTTAACAGCCTGTCTTCGGTCTTTCAAGTTGCTTTCGAACCACCTAAAAAGAGCGCCAGAAAGTCCCACAGCATTTAGCTTGGATAACAAAATTCTGTGATCCACTCTGTCGAATGCCTTCGGGAAGTCAGTATAGATACCATCCACCTGATACTTATTCTCAAAGGCACCCAACAGAGCCTGCTCATAGGTCAAGAGATTAGTTACAGTGGATCTTCCCTTCATAAAACCGTGCTGTTCATTTATTATGATCTTATTAAGATGAGGAGACCAACTATCAGCAACCAGTGATTCAAATAGTTTAGCAATTAAAGAGATTCTACTAATAGCTCTATAGTTTTTGACATCAGCTCTGTCACCATCCTTGAAAATAGGCGAAACAAAGGATTTTTTCCAAAAATCTGGAAAAACTTCTGTACTTAGGGACAAATTAAAAATCTTACATAAAATGACAGATAAATAGTTATTTATGCAACAAGTGTGTAAAGTGAACCTTTTTTCACGAATGTGAGTTTTGACGCACGAGCCGAAGGCGAGTGCGACAATCACATGAGTGAAAAAAGGTGCTTTACACACGTATTGCATACAAAATTTTTTCTACTACCAATCAAATATGTGTAAAAAAATAGATTTAGACAAATACTTTACGAACTAGTGCGTGAAGTATTTTTACTTTACGCACTAGTGTGTGAAGTAATTTACCAGAAAAATACTAAATTGACAGTGTCAACATCTGTCATTGACGTTACTTTACGCACTAGTGTGTGAAGTGAATTACTTTACGCACTAGTGCTTGAAGTGGAATTTTATGTCTTCTGAATAGTGTCTAAAGTGAGTACTTTACGCACGGTAGTAGAAAAACATATTTACAATTTTGTATCACAGACCCATTCCCAAATTTTTCTTCATTTTCTCAATTTTATTAAAAACATTAATAGTGGAAAATTCTAAACAACTTAAATTAACACATTTGTCATAATCCAAAAGTAAATCTGTTCCTGGACCATTAAAATTCGAGTACACAGAAGAGAAATGAGATCCTAAACATCTCCGTAATTTCCTGGGCATCGTCAGATTCACATCCATCAAAAGTCATGCATTTTGGATATTCTGTGCCGCCTTTTTTTGATTTCATAAAGTTCCAAAAAGATTGTCTATCATGCAGTTGATTTTCTAAATTTTTCACATAGTTTCTATATGATGTTTGAGAAATATTATGGCATTCAGATCTTAAAGTAGCAAACTGATCATAGTGTTCTTGTGAGTGTGTATATTTATAATATTTGTGAGCGATTTTTTTTTGTAAAATTAAATTTTTCAAGTTATCAGGCATCGACTTTGGAGTTTTGAATCTAGATAAGGGGGTAAAAATTTCAATGATGTAGAGTATGTACTGGGTTATTGGTTATAAATGTCACCCCCATCTATCTTTTTTATTTGACATTTTAGAAAAAAGTGTCCCAAATAAAAAATTTATGGTTGAAATTAATTTTTTTGAAAAACTCACTTTTGCATATACAGGGTGTTCCAAAAAACCTCGTCGTGCTCCAACTTTCTTATTTTAAATTGAATATTCTGTATATTATTCAATATTCGGATTCTACATCAAATTCTAAGCAGATTTCATGTGATATACCCTATACCTAAGTTCAACTGTTTTGGAAATATTGACAGTTGAAAATTGACTTTTTTGTAAATTTGACAGGCTGTAAAACCTAAACGGTTAACTTTTGAGCAAAACCAATCTTAAATTTTTTTCTAAGATTTTCACAAGTTATCATTTGACCCCAACTTTGAAATTAATCGAAGATAAAATTTAATTTGAATTTTCAATCATGGATCAAATTCAAAGTTGATGTCAAATATTGGTGTCAACTGATAGTTTAAAAATATCTAAGATAAAAATGTAAGATCGGTTTTACTCTAAAATTAACCGTTTAAGATTTACAGCCTGTCGAAGTTGCAAAAAAGTCAATTTTCAACTGTCAATATTTCCAAAACAGTTGAACTTAGGTATAGGGTATGCCATATGGAATCTGCTCAGAATTTTACGTAGAATCTGAATATCCAATAATATACAGGGTATTCCATTTGAAATAAGAAATTTGGAGCACGACCAGCTATTCTGAAACACCCTGTATATGCAAAAGTGAGTTTTTCAAAAAATTTAATTTCAACCATAAAACTTTTATTTGGGACACTTTTTTCTTAAATGTCAAATAAAAAAGATAGAGGGGGGTGACATTTATAACCAATAACCCTGTACATTATAAAACTTAGTATTCACATCTGTGCACTCTTTGGTCAATAAAAAAAATGCATTCAAACGCTGGGTGTGGTAAGTCCAGCTTGAGTAAGGGATTATTGCACACAGATACTTTAATGTCACAACTTTTACAAAACAAGAGATCCAAGTAATTTCCAAAAACATTAGGAATATCTATCAATTGGTATAGGCTCAAATAAGCCACGCAATCTCCCACAGTAATTACTTGCTTGAATAGAGGACCAACAGGCATAGATCCATCTACTGTTGTTTCCCATGTTATATTGGGTATTGGGTATATATTATAGACCAATTGCTCTACTTCCGGTGATATCAAAAGTAATGGAAAGAGTTGTGAACAATCACCTAACCAAGTACTTGGAAAAGTACAAAATTATCAACGATAAGCAATACGGATTTCGAAAATATAGGTCAACTGGCGATTTACTTACATACGTCACTCACTTATGGCAAAAAGCGATTGAGTTGCGGGGTGAAACAAGAACAATTGCCTTAGATATATCTAAAGCATTCGACAAAGTTTGGCATGAAAATCTGCTCAACAAGCTCAAAGCAATGGGATTATCGCCGAAACTTTGCACTTGGTTTGAAAGTTACCTAAAGGACAGATCCATTTATGTTGCACTGGATGGCCAGAACTCCCACTCTTACCAAATAAATGCTGGTGTGCCACAGGGAGCAATCCTTTCGCCAACTCTTTTTCTGATTTACATAAATGACCTCATAGATAAAACAGTAAATCCACTTTATTGCTTTGCAGACGATGGCAATGTAGTCTCCTCACTCATACCACCCACAGGTCTTTCCGCACGTGAATTCCATCATCTTAGACTAACTCAAATATCGCAGATAAATAACGACCTGGAGATAATAGTGGACTGGGGTAACAAAAACCTTGTACAGTTCAACGCGCAGAAAACCCAAGCAGCTCTGTTTTCAAAAAAGACCAGCACCGGTGAGCCAAACATCATGCTATCTGGAAGTGCTGTCACATTACAGAGTCAGTTGAACATCTTGGGGGTACTGCAGAGACCAACATGTCTTGGCACAGCCACGTGGCAGATATTGCTAAAAGGGCGTCCCAAAAGCTGGGGGTGCTATTTCGTACAAGACATCTGTACACACCAAGCCAATTGCTGACACTCTAAAAAGCCCAGATTCGACCAACTATGGAGTACTGCTCACATATATGGAGTGCAGCACCCAAACATACCTTAATGCTTTTGAACACCGTGCAAAAACGAGCTATCAAGCTGATCAATGACCCCGCACTTACTCGTAACTTGGATGGTCTCGAACATCGCAGATCTGTGGGCGATTTATCTCTCTTCTACAGGTACTATCACGGAAAATGCTCTGAAGAGTTGGCACGTATGATTCCACCGAGAGTAGCGCCTACCAGGCGAACCCGTCAAACAGACGGTAACCATGAATTTACTATCAAACTAGAGGCACCAAGAACCTCATTATATCAGAATTCATATCTCTGGAGAACAGCATCGCTGTGGAATAAACTCCCTGCGACGGTTTTTCCTGCAGGTTACAACCTGAACCGTTTCAAGACCAACATACACCGACATTTCCGCGCACTCGCCGCTTCTCGAGCGTGATAGGACATTTCCTTGCGAGTGCGCATATACGTAAAAAAAAAAAAAAAAATTGATACAGTACTATTTGCACAGTTAGTCCAGTTGTTAAAATCACTGTAGAATTCGAGGCCAACTTTTGTCCCTTATAGCGGATTTACTCGAGATCTTTTCCTGGTAGAATAGAATGGGCTTAATCTTGAGCTTGTGAGTGGAGACCTTTGAGGATTGATGTTTGGGTAGCCTTTGTTTTTGTTTAGGTCGGAGATCACTCTAAAGACAGGAATTTATTCATTTGCTGATTTCACAAACTACAACTACAAACTTTTCACTTCCAGCGTGACATTGAGGCGATATAATGCTGAATTTTAGAATGGCAATTAATTGTCACTCCAAATGCACCATACTTCACCTTGGGCATAATAACTTCAAGCATTATTACTTCATTAAGACCGCTAGGTTGAAAATCAAAAGGACATAGTATTATTAGAAAAGCCAACAGCACCTCATTAAATAGAGCCTCTTCAAATGATCTTCTGGCTACATAAGACCAAAACTTTAATAATTTAATAAGTGTGTGCAAAGAAAGCGAGTACTATGCCCAGGATTGATGCCCTGAGTTTAATGCAGAATGTGTAGATGCGTGATTTGCCCTTTTAACAGCCTTGAGATCCTTCATGGGCGTTCAAGAACATTAATAAACATTATCAGAATGATTTAGTCATCTCCCAGATCTGTGAACCACAAAAACTGAAAGGCAACAGTTAAAGGATTTGAAAAGAATGCAACTCCAAATTCCTTCCAGGTGATTTGCAGAATTTGTTTCAGGCTTTGAGATGTTAGACAAGGTACAAATGTGCAGTGCTTACTGCTATGGCTTACTGGTTGTATAATGACACAATAAACATTAAAATTGAGAGAACAATTTAGTAGGGGCTGAGAGCCAGTCCTTACTATACTGTTGAGTGTGTAGCATACATAATCGTTCTATAATTGAATTTGAATAAGGTTGTTTTGTAATATACAGAAGCGTTGCCAATTTTTTCAAAAATGAATTTGTTATTTTTATTTCTTATAGTTAAAACATTCATCGAATTCAATTTGATAAGGATGATAACTTTCACACCGAGACTACCAGAGGTGTTTTATTAGTACTTACCCTTAACATCAAATTATTATCATTACACCTCTCAAATATATTTTTCTTGCAGCACTTAACTTTTTTCATGACATTGATTTAATTATCATTTGAACACATCTTTTTTTTTTGTAGAATTCCGAGGCCTCGTATGCAGAGATGACGTCAATATTATAAGAGAAAAAATCTACGACGTGATGGAAGAATACGTCCGCACCACTTACCCAAATGAACCAGGTAGATTTGCAAAATTGCTATTGCGACTTCCAGTTCTCCGATCCATAGGGCTCAAGTGTCAAGGTCACTTGTTTTTCTATAGGTGTGTATGATTCAAAGTACTAGGCATTCAATTTTGTATCTATTCAATATTTGTTTAGTATAGTTATTTATATTACTAGTACGGTATGAGCTTCATTACAGTAACAAGTGGGGAATATTGCCAAGACGAGGTCGTAGACCGAGTCGTGGTAATCACGGGGTGGTGTAATGAGCATTACCGCATGTATTCGAAATATGGTTCTAATTTTTCAGAATAGATTATATCTATAATTTTTGATAAATAAATTTTAAAAAATTTTTCAATAGAAATGAGTTACGTAATAAGCTCTTACAGTGTAGGTCGTACATAAAAGAAGTTTCTAATGATCTTTTGATTTATTTTTATTATTATTGTTTATTATTATTAACTAAGATTAGTAAACGGTTTATCTGATAAGAATAATCAACCAGTACTCAGAAGCAAGACATCATTAGAGAACAACTATCACAATACATCAAAAAAAGAGGCCTATTGCCCCTATGCACCGTTCACTTTATTCTATTCTTAGTTTCCCTTTAAACTTAAGTTTTAAATTTCGTATGCACCGCCAGTTAAATCTGCTTAAGTTCTTCTTAAAGTTAAGTCATCAAAATCCTCGACTCAAGAAACAAAAATCTGTCTTTATTGCGATTGTGGGGTTAGGTTAGGACCGGTAAGGTTTTTTGACGTTTACGAATATGACACTGTGTGTCGTGTAGCATAACAACATTAAAAACTATTGAACAAGATTTTTCATCATTTGCTATACAAAAAAATGGAGTTCGACATGCTAGGTGAAGACGTTTTTGATATTTTGGATATTTTCGATTATGGGTTTCCAAGAATTTTTAGTTATAATTTTTAATAGAGAAAATTATTTCCGGTTAACGGATGATTTGTCTTTTTTCCGGCGATTCAGGTTGAGAAAATCCACTGTTTTGCAAGTATTGTCTTCTTATTTTCAATTATATTAGCATATTTGCTTATTATGGGAATAATCAGTTATTTTTCGTTTTCTGAAAAATTAAATTCATGCTTTTTTCTATTCTTCATATTTGAAACAAGCCTTGCCTTCAAGGAAACACCTCGAGAAACACAAAACAAAGAGCGGCCTAGAATATTTTAAAGCTCTATAAACACGAAATAACAAATACATACATTACAAAATACGCGGAAAGTGAACAATTTTTAAATTTTTATACAGCGAACTAACCAAAACTGTCAAAGTCGAGTTGTTAAAAACCTGTAAAAACTGACAAAAAATCAAAAGTCACCAGAAATTGCAATGTTGCAAATTTTATCAGTTTCTTAGCTAAGAAAACAAAATTTGTTGACGGTGCATTCAAAATTTTTTCTCAACTCTAGGAATAACTTTGCTAAGCCTTTCCTAACGATGAAACGGTGCATACGGGCATATATCACAAAAGTCAAATGATGTAATGGACTATTCTTATATATAGTGTTTGTAGCATTTCAATTCTATATCCAGATGATTCTTGAACTGGTGATCTGATCTCAATGAGATAGTGTGCTCTTGCAGAGTGTTCCAAGTGTACACCATTTTATGACTCACCTCACTCCAGTGTCCAATGAGTGATTCATTACATCAGTTGAAGGTACTTGCAGTAATTCAACACATTTTTGTGAGAATGTCGCAAGTATCCCACCGCTTCCAGGAGTCTGTCTTCAGACAATGGACAGCTTCACTAACTGTTTCAGGTATCAAAAATATTGTTTGCAAAACTAGGAGTTAGTAGGGTTGTTTCCAGGATTTAGATTGTAGACACTCTTGTACCGTTTTTCCTGCAGTTCTGACAAAGTTGGTTCAAAAGCAAGATTCCTATTTAATTGTTAATTCGGTTCTTGGGATCCCTTCAATGTCAGCTAAAGCTTCTCCAAATTCATCTTCATTAGGATTTATTGTATTTTTTGCCTTCAACTCTTTATCATATCCTCTTGTTTTTGGAACTTATATTTTAAAATGTTTATCCCTATGGAACCCTGGTCGGGGCCTATCAACCTTTTGCACAACTATCTTCAGTTTTCTCTTTATGTTGATTGTTATGTTGCAACTAGGCTCCGCAATATTATTCAGTAGTGCTCTAGATCTACACACACCGGCCAAATTAGGGAAACGGACAAAACTTACACTAAGTTTGACATCAATTTTCTCTGACACCCTCCGCTCGATTTCGTTGAATTTTTTGCAGATTGTAGCTTGATTGTTCAGGAATACATCTGAAGTATTACCGTTATTAAATGATTCGTCTTTATATCGTATACAGGGATGGAAAGAAAGTCAGTAATTTTCAGACTTTTTTGAGACACCCTGTGGCGTGAACCACTGGAAATTCAGAACAATTTTCAACACCAAATTGTAGCCTGATCTTTCCTAAGCATTTTCAATATTATTGAAAATACAGAGTTTCGAAGAAAAGGTGGATATTGACCCTAATTTTCTCTACGTCGACATACAAATTGGATATGAAAATATGTCGTTTTCCAACTTCAAGTCGTGTGTGTCAATGTTTACTTCAAGTCCAATATTGCTCGCAGTTTTACCACTTACCGTTCAATTTATTGTGAAAAGAATGCTCACAAATATACAGGGGGATCAGAAAGTCCCTTTCATGATTTCCATTTGGTGGAATGTTATTTATCTCCAAACTAAACTCTCCCTTCACACTTAACCAAGGCTTAGGAGTTCTCCAATTTATCCTTCAACAGACCTTGCCACATCGGTAGGATATTGACGAATTTAATCTTATTTGAACAGGAAAAATTACGTTTACGAATACAATTTTGTTTCTGTCGTTGGTTATTGTCAAGTCAAAGTCGAGCGAAACTCTGTATTTCCGATAATATTGAAAATATCAGAGTGAATAAAAAATGAAAATGTTCGGAAAAGATCAGGCTACAATTTGGTGTTGAAAACTGTTCTAAATTTTCAGTAGTTCACTCCACCGGGTGTCTCAAAAAAGTCTGAAAATTACTGACTTTCTTTCCATCCCTGTATATGATATAAACGGTATATAACGGTAATACGTCAGATGTATTCCTGAAGAATCAAGCTACAATCTGTCAAACATTCATCGAAATCGAGAGGAGGGTTCAAGAGAAAATTCATGTCCAAACTTAGTGTAAATTTTGTCCGTTCCCCTAATTTTGCCTGTGTGTGTATTTAGATCTATACTTACTTCATTAAAAACAATCTATAAGTATTATGAAAGAAGATGTCCTGACTTACTGATTTATAATCACTCAATCAGCAAAAACTATAATAGCGACAGACTTGAATTTTGATTTTCAATTTCTATGACAAAATGTGGTTCTTCTGACAGACATCTTAATCACTGAGCCATCAAAGCCGATGGAAACTTTCGACTGGTAACGCTAGTCTTATATATAAAAATCAATATTTGTTTGTTCGTTGTTTAAGGACTCGGAAACCGCCGAACCAATGTCCTTGAAATTGAGTTATAGGCTTTTTATCCCGGAAAAATGCACAATTCCTGTGGGATAGATCTGAAGCATAAAGAGCGGGGTTAGTAACAATTGTTTTCGAAGAGGCGTAGCAACAGCTAGTCTTACATAAAATAACCTTACCTAGGCTACTTTTTGACGAATTCTTTTGCCATCTTGAAACAAATGAGAATTGTATGGGAATAAATCGATGGTATTCACAAAACATGGTTTCTTGCATCCTGAACTTTGCTTGCCTTTTTGGGACGGAATGACAAGTGAGCCAGTTGTTCAGGGACGCTGCGTTTTCAAGGAGACCTAAAACCATTTATAATTATAAATAAACTACACTAGCCCAATATTATAATTTTAAAAATATATAATGCTAAAAGAAGACCCATATTCCATATTGCTGTATTTCGAACTTAATAATAGACAAATAATAATTATTCTTTTTTTTTTTTTAGATTAGTAAATGGTGTAACTCTGGATTCATTCCTTGCTGAAATGCTCGAAAACGCTAGAAATTCTTAAATAAAATGTAGTTCAGTCCGTAATATTATGCAGTTAAAAATGTTACAATGTTAAAAATTAACTTATGTTATTATTGCACATAAACATCAAACTTTTAGTGTGCAATAATATGCCTAGCAAAAGATTAAAATGTAGAGATTTTCTTCAATAACTCTTAAACGATGGAAGTAGTTTTGTGTAATGATAACATAAAAAGCACATAGGATAGAACTGTTAAGTATTTAATTAGAGATTTCTAGAGGGAAAGAAAGGCATGATTAAGTATTGTTTTTGCAAATTGTGTTGGTTTAATACAAAATCACTAACTATCCACAAAATAATTTTTGTCCACAAAATTATGAACTATGTATACATTTCCCTCGGTTACAAATCTGTGATTTATAATAAATAATTAATCTGTTTTTATAATTATTAAATTTGGACAAGGTATTACTAGCTATTATTATTATTTTTTTGTTAACTTTCCGTAACACAATTTTTTACAACCATATTTTTAGTAGGTACCTGTTAAGTGACTTCATTTTGGAAGCTTTATTTATACCAGCTTAAAAGACCTATTCGGGTTTCCAAAAACATAGTGTGGTTTTAGATAGTAGATTTGTTGAAGGGAGGTAAATAAGCGAGCTAATTAAGGTGATGAAGTTGTTAGTGTTGGTTGTGTTTTAAGAATTATTAATCAAAATTTATAAACCATTTCATATTAAATAATAATATATTTATTCTTATATTAAGTATTTAAATTTTTACTTCTGATAGCACCGTAATTCTTTTTTTTTTTGGGCCCAATAATAATTGAAACAATCTAATGTAATTGTAATTACATATTGGGACATTTACCGAAATATGCAATTATTGCTAAACAATTGGTAAAATCTGGAATATTTAAAATGGCCTTTTTTACAAAATTAATTTAAAAAAATTAGGATATTTGTTTTGAGTTCGGGAGAGATTTTTTTAAATTTAATTTTCATGATGTTAAAAATTTTGACGAATTTGATTGTAATATTAACTTGGAATTATTTCTTGTGTAGTTTATAAATTAAAATTTTATCATTCATTATGTGAAATTATATTTTTAATAAATTCTATTTTATATTGAACCGGTGTATTTTTAGTTTCCTTTCATAGTAAACTGTTGAGCTACCCCCTAAGCGTACCTTCGAATTTGTCAGATTTAAATGTGATTTTGAAATTTTGAATAATGCAAGATTTTACTATTCTACACTATATTAAACATCTTTCAAAAAAACACGTTCTAAAGTAGGGCAATAATAAATTTATGAATTGTGACAAAATGGTAATCTGCATATAAGTATTTCTTATTACTCTGCGTCCAAATGTGATTGATAAATCTGCAGTAGGTGGAAATCTCTGCGCGATAACTACGTTAATGACGCCTAAACAAATTACAAACAACAGTTCATTGTTCTCTCAGGTGAGGTGAGCGATATTAACCTCGATTTGTAGCCATGAATTAGGGACACGTGCCATCCGCACCAAAACAATTTGGACTTGGACTATATTTTAACGATTTTATGTAAACGGACTGCAATATTATTATTATTATAAGTGATGAAATAACTGATATTATAAAATAGTGTAAAATCTTCTCGAGATTTTGGGTAAGGTTCCACCACTGATCTGGTACCACTACCATCTTTCAACAGTGTTCTAGAATACTGCCCGAAATTGGTTTTGAAAATCGTAGGGGGTTAAGTTTGAACATATCAAAAAACCCAATGAAAGTAGGGGTTTTTTCCTTGTTCTTGAGATTTTGGATGGACTATCATCTTTTAGCAGGGTCTTAAAAAAGTGTTCTATTATGCTTTTCTAAATTTTTCTCGAGATTTTGGATGCGGTAACTATTACCATATTTAACAGGGTAAAGGGACTTAATCAAATGATGTTGAATAATACTTGGGATTGGTTTCGCAATTCGTAGGTGATGAAGGGTTGGAAATATCCCACTGTACACATGGTTCAACAACCTTTTATTGACAAAATGTAATGAAGTACAACACGTTTTGGTTTTACTCTCTACTGACTGATATTTTCAATAGTTTCTTGACACAGATAATTAACCAATGGTTGACATTGATTTCTCTCATGCTAACTGCTATTTTGTTATGTTTTCACACATTATATTTCACTTTACTATGGTAAATTCTAAATTAAAGTGTTACTTTATGAATAAACTAATAAATAAATAAATGTTGGAAGGTAATATATAGTTGGTATCTATCGCAAGCTGATGTTCTGTAGTTATTCATCTGCTGAGAGAAAGCGCGAGGCATCTAGTAGGTAGGTACTCAGGCGAACAATGAATTGCTTCCGAGCAATATATTACCATTGCTGCTGAGGGCTTTCACCACAATCTGAGCCCATAATTCTGTTCTTGAATAGAGACACCAGGAAAATATCATTGATTGTCTTTGCAGCATGATAACAGTCGCCATCATCCCCATGGGTACTGCGAACGTCGAACGTCACGAAAGCGACTACTCAGTATCGCATCGGTTAAGAGGCCTGAATTTGATCAATCAGATTCTTGTCTGCTCAGTCTATCAAACAAAAATCTTCTCTCATGAAGAAACTTCGAGTTGAAATTTTGCTTTGTGAATTTTTCCTTTCTGACTATCAAATTTCTTCAGCCGTGAACTAGTGTAAGATCCTAAAGGAAGTATTCGAATACAATGTCAGAAATAAATCATAACAACTCAAAAACAGTTTTAACATCATGCAAGAAAATATCCCAATGAAAAAACAGACTAAAGTCATAAACTAGATTATTCTAATACCCATGCCTATTTCCATTCCAGGAGAGGCAAGCAAGAAGCAAGGAAATAAAATATCAATATACAGGGTGTTTCACGAACATCGAAACAGAGGCGTTTTGGGGCATTTCAAGGTCGATTTAAAAAAAAACGCTCGGAAACGTCAATTTTGTATTCAAGGGGGAAACTTTTTGACCCCATCGGTATTTCGCTAGGGTGCACCCCCTGAGTGGGGTGACTTTCACTCCTCTTTTTCAGATAGGGAAGATGGGTCGAGTGGTACCTTGTTTCAAAGTTATTTTGATTCTCGTCACAACTGTGTACCTTTTTTGAAAATCGAATGATTAATTCTCAAGATATTTACTGTCAAAGTTGCCATAGGCAACATAAGAAACAATCTTCTGGCCCTGTTATTCTCAAATTAACACTTTCCTGACTTTCCTTTCGGACTCGTCAATTTCAATTTTTTCGGAAGCACACAAAAAAAGAAAATTGAAATGTCCGAGAGGAAAGTCAGGAAAGTGTTGATTTGAGAATAACAGGGCCAGAAGATTGTTTCCTATTTAGCCCATAGCAACTTTGACAGTGAATATCTTGAGAACTAATTATTCGATTTACAAAAAAAATACACAGTTGTGACGAGAATCGAAATACCTTTCAAGCAAGGTTCCACTCAACCCATATTCCCTATCTAAAAAAGAGGAGTCAAAGTCACCCCACCCAGGGGGTGCACCCTAGCGAAATATTGATGGGGTCAAAAAAATTCCCCCTTGAATACAAAATTGACGTGTCCGAGCGTTTTTTTTTTAAATCGATCTAAAAATACCCCAAAACGCCTCTGTTTCGATGTTCGTGAAACACCGCGTATATCCTACAAAATATCAGAAATTGATCCTAGAATGGTGACAGAGCTTAACTACCTATTTGTATCTTAGTAGGTAATGCTAAAATGATAAAACATTTTGAATTTCCATTACGGGTCAGTAATTTTTGTTTGAATTATTGTCGCCACGTTTCTAATCTCTTTTATCTGCTAATCTACATTTATTCGCTTGATAACGACTGCACTGCAGATACAATAGTCTAAACTCTGCGACATTAAACCTAAAACCAGAGAAGGTAATGGAAATCCAAAGTGCTTCATTTATTATTTAGTTTGTTCTTATTCACATCATCAGATCATTCGTCCCTTGTAGATTGTAGATTTCGGGGGAGTCGTTTCGGCTTTTCAGCCGCTCAGCACTGCTACCTTTGCAGATATTTTGTGCGTGACTCTGCATCTTAATTTGTCTCCAGGAAGCGTAGACTTCTGCCGAAGGAAGCTATTTTCCTGGGTGTCAGTTGGCCCACTTCTTCTGGTGACAGTGTTGCCCCCTCGAGAAATTTGAGCCTCTTACAGAATTGGGCTGGACATTCGCAGAGCAGGTGCTCTGCGGTTTCTATTGCGTCTGAGCAGAATCTGCAGAGATCGTCTTCCGCTCTGCCCATTAACCTTAAATGGTATTTTACTGGGCAGTGTCCTGTGAGCAGTCCCACCACCAATCTGATGTCTGGTCTGCTCATGTTTAGGAGCTGTTCAGCTCTTTTTGCTGAAAGGGTAATAAACCTTTTTGACTGTCTGAGTCCCGGTGTGTGCCTCCAATATGATGACAGTTGGTCTTTCTCCCATTTGTTGAGTTCTTCCATGATGTGGCTTTTCATTAAGCCACAGTAGGGCTCTGGTCCGTGGTATGGTGTTGAGCCCCCTTCCTTTGCGAGGCCATCTGCTTCTTCGTTTCCTTCTATGCCTCGATGACCAGGCAGCCACATCAGCGTTACCTGGTTATGTGTCGCTAGTGTTTTTAGGGTCTGTTTACACTCCCAAACTAGTTTTGACGTGCATTTGAAAGCCCTTAGGGCTTTTAAGGCAGCTTGGCTGTCCGATAGTATGATGTGTTTTCTTTTGAGGCTTTGGTTAAGACACTCTTGTGCACATATATCTATGGCAAGCAGTTCGGCTTGAAATATTGTAAGATGTTTACCCAATGCCTTGGAGAGCTTGAAGTTAGGGCCGGAAATGCCCAGTCCAGCTCCTTCCATCAGCTTGGATCCATCTGTGTACCACAGAGATGCATTGTCTGCTTGTGGTAGTTCTTTATTCTCCCATGATTGGCGGTCGTTTATTACCACTGCGAAGGGGATCTCTAAGTCCAATCTGACCATCATGTGGTCACTTGGTTTGCTGACATTCTCCAGTTTTATTAGATCAAGGATTCTCAGATGTCCCCTCAGATCGCCAGGCTTGAACTTGTCTATTTGGAATAGCCTGTGAGCGCTGGTTCCTTACTATATACCTACTCATACTTGACATACTTTCATAATAAATATGCTTTCACTAGGGCAGGCCCAATAATAAGAAATGAGTGAAATGACCAATTTTCTACCAATTAAGGTACCTAACATGAAAGAAGCAAATCAAAACATAAAAAAATAAATAATAATTGTTTGTTTTTAGATCTACAGACAAATATCTACCGCACTGTCCGTTTTTTTGCAAAACGAATATAGAATTCAGCAACTGTCTGTGAATCCCCAAAAAGCAATACCATATCGTACCTACATGAAACTCGAACTAGGAGAAATACTTACATCATTTTAGCATCCGAATAAGTAAAGTTCGAACCAACTAAAAATAATACCTACACGCAGTGGCGCACCCAGGGGGGGGGGGGGCATCGGGCCACGGCCTCCCCAGGCTGCCCCTGCAAAACTTTATTTTATATGCATTTACATCTACCTGTCACCTAATAATATACCATCAGGATGGCTCAGGTGACAAGTATATGTAAATGCATATAAAATGAGTACATTTCTTGAACATTAAATTGCTTCTATCTCAAAAACTAGTCATAGGATTAAGTTGTGCCCATGGTAGCTGTTGATCAGAAAGGTGGACTATTCCATAATAAAATTTGGTTAAATTTGGCGGAAGTCGCAAATCCCATAAGAGGTGTGCGGGGTCCTTTAAGTATATTAAAGCTAAAATGCTTACGGATATTTAAAAAAGAATCATTTTCCAAAGCTTCCCGAATTTCCAGAAAATAAAAATAAAAATTCAGGCCATACACTCTAAGGCAAAAATATCACTCAGTCTGTCTTTTAGATTACAAATATTGTAACTTCGCTATTCTTACTTTTTTCTAATCAAATTTTAGTATGTTAAAGCTCATGAGTTTCTGGATATTTCAAAAAATTCTTCATTTTCCAAAGTTCCCCAAATTTCCTGGACAGTGACACATCCAGGGGGGAACCATCGGGCTAGGGCCCCCTCCCAGGCCGCCCCTCCAA